GCCCCACCTCGCCCTGCCCCGCCCCGCCCCCGCGGAGAGGTCACCCATACGGGGACATGGGAAAATATGAACATGAGTGCGGCTAAGGCGGGCAGCTCGCCGTCGCCGGGTCACCATACCGGCAACCAGCGTACCTCTGGGCTCGGGCGAGCGCCATGTAGGGCACGCTGGTCGCGGCCGCCGCGCCCGCGCCCCGTCCTCCTCCCCCTCCCCTCCCCGTCGCCGCACCCCCTGCGCGGAACGCGGCCCTTCCTTCGACGGCCTGCCGTGACGGAGGAGCCCCGCCGCCGCACCGAGGGGTCGTAACTCGGCGACCACGACGTCGCGTTCAGGAAGTCCGCATTCCTTGCTTTCCGTTCGGCTCGCGGTGCACGTCACACAGGCCCTCTGGACGTCGGCGTCCTCACGCGACCGGGGCGCTGGCCGTGCCCAGGGCTGAATAACGAGTCGGAGCTGACCTAGTAGTCGCGGGGACAAAAAGTGTTTCGGTTCGAGGCGGAAAAAAAGTGCAGGTAGAGGTTGCCGCAAAGCTAATGCTGCCACACTGCGTGCACCTCAGCCTGTGGGGTAGGCAGCCACACCACGCCCGTGTGCTATAGCTGCCTACCTCCCAGGCTGCACGCACCAGACCGCCGCACCACGAGAGTCCCGCGGGTACGTACTTCCGGGCCCTGCCCTTCGCTGAGTAAAACAGCAAGCTATAACGCCACACCGGCCGGCTAGGGTCTCCGTCAGCCAAAGCCAGGCTGCTTCCGGTAGAGCTCCGCGCTGGGCTGGGCTGGGCAGTCTGCTCTCCTTCAGCTCGGCCTTCGGATCGGCGCCGCCGCCGCCACTCTTCCCCGCCCCGCCCCACCCCGCCACTCCGCCGGCCGAGGCGCGCGAGCAGTTTCCCACGGGGAGCCTCCTCTTGGAGCGGCGCTAAACCACAAACTGCAACCACTACTTACGGCGGCAGGATCAGTATGCGCGCGAGAAACGACTCGAAATAAACGCGTCGTTTCATTGAATCGGGAGCCGCCTTTTGGGAGGAGGGGCCGGGCACCGGCTTAAGTGCCATGCGGAGCGCACGCGTGGGTGCGGCGCTGACGGCGAGCATCGCCAGCGGGGAGGACAGCAGCTGGCTCGTCCCCGCCTCGGACACACAAGGCTCGCTCTATTCTGATCGCTCTCTTAACTCCGAGGGGGTCCTTCCGTACCCCACCACCACCCCGCCACGCCCTGCGATCTTTCCTTCGAAACCTTCCTGCGATCAGGGGCCCTGTCCTTGGGCGGCGGTACGACGCACCGTGGCGGCGGCACGGCTAAATACGGGGACCGCGCTACTGCTGCCGCTGCTGGACCAGCAGGTGGTGATGACCGTCATCATCGTCATCTGCAGTTCGCCTCGCTCGCAATCGCATATCGCTCCCCCGCCGCCCGGGCCCGACCCACTTGATCCGGTTAGGTCAGCGGGTCGCCCCACCCCGCCCCGCCCCG